AAGCCTGCTATTTCTTGGTTCAATCTCCCTTAATTTGCTGAGGAGGCACAAAGCCATTCCTTTGTGGTCCAAGTAGAAAAGAATAGAATAGAGCTGGAAGGGACCTTGGAGGTCTTCTAGTCCAGCCCCCTGCTCAAGCAGGAGAACCTATACCATCTCAGACAGGTGATTGTCCAGTCTCTTCTTAAAAATTTCCAGGAGTAGAGCACCCACGATTTCTGGGGGTAAGCTGTTCCACTGGCTGATTGTTCTCACTGTCAGGAAGTTTCTCCTTAATTCCAGGTTACTTCTTTATATATAGATTTGAAATAAATGGTAAAGGATATCCTATTTGAGCAGGGGGTTGGACTAGAAGACCCCCAAGATCCCTTCCAACTCTGTTATTTTGTTATTCTGTTAAATATCTTTAAAACAGCGGAAGAATAAAGACTCACACTTCTCAGTTTCCAATCTTGGGCTACTTAACTTGACAATGTTAAAGGGAAAACTTTGCCCTTGTTATGCTGTACAGGTAAACCTTGATTTAGGATGACTGAACCCAACATGCTAAGCAAGACATTTGCTAAGCGATTTTTTGCTCCATTTTACAACCTTTCTCACCACCGTCGTTTAAGTGAATCCCTGCAGTTGTTAAGTTAATAACATGGCTGTTATGTGAAACGGGCTTCCCCCGTTGACTTTGCATGTCAGAAGGTCACAAAAGGGGATCACGTGACCCCGGGACAGGGCAACAGTCATAAGTACATGCCAGTTGCCGAGTATCCCGAATTTTGTGCACATGACTGCAATGGTCGTAAGTGTGAAAAACGGTCATAAGTCCCTTTTTCAGTGCCATGGTAACTTCGAACACTCACTAAACAAATGATTGTAAATTGAGGAGTATAGTTTTCCATTTCCATTGTATTTTATTGGCGCTATTAAATTATTGAATGTTTACCCTGTAGCTGAACAGAGCCCGTGGGCCTTTCCTTCTGTCATTTTAATCTATAAACCTACTTGAGGAACTGAATAAAAAATGAAGCCAATTGTCACCTGTTCAGCACTTTCCTTCCTTATGCCCAATTAACATTTACCATTTTCACTTCCTGGGGTTTATCAGCACTTCATCAATAACGAAACTAATGAACGGTTAACCGGATCAGGATGTCTGTTTATTTCAGTGCTCCATCACTGGAGATTTTTTTAAAAAGAGACTGGACAGTCACTTGTCTGAAATGGTATAGGGTCTCCAGCTTGTGCAGGGGGATGGACTAGAAGACCTCCAAGGTCCCTTCCAGCTCTATTCTGATTGACTGAATCTCCCAAAATTGTTTAATTTTCCATTTATATTTTAATTTTCTTTTCACCAGTAACCAGTGTTGACTTCCAGTTTCTGGCACACACACAAAAAAAAGCCCAGGTTGGACAATAGATTTGCTTAACGACTAGGGTGTTCACTTACTAACCGGCAGCTTTCGCTTAATGACTGCCACAAAAAAATATCCTAAAATCAGGTCAATCACCTGGATGCCTCGACTCGTGACTATCGTGCTATAAAGCAGAAATTCCAGGCTCCATTACTGTCGTAAGTCAAGGACCACCTGTAGGAACGTTTTGTATTTAGGAATAAGCAGGAAGAGAGACAATTTTTTTGATAATACCAAACCGCTCAACCTAGCAAGGAAGGTTGGCCCACACAATTGCATCTGCCAACGTGACTTTTTAAATGTCCCTCCACGAGTTGCAGTGGGATAAACAGGGAAATAACGTACAGGGCAACAATTAATAATAACAAATTCAGATTGAATCAGAGCTGGGGACACAAGAAGAAAAGCAAGCAAGCTTGGGACTTTTTCTAAGCTCCATCGCCAGGATACTTACGGCTGAGTGAAGTCACGCGTGATGAAATCCGAACTCTTGAAAAGCAGGAAGATATCGCTGAGGGTGTTGCATTTCAGGGAATTATTCATGGCGATCCAGTAGGCATCCTAAAGAAAACAGATTTATTCCAGACATGCCATAATTGCCTATTCCAGGCTAGCATTTCCACAGGTAAAAACACCGTGAAATCGGAGCTTGTGCTGATCCAATTTCCAAAAACTGCTTTGGAGTGCACGAGAGTGCAAACATAGCTTGTGGGTGCAAGTGACACTGAAAAGAGCTGTGCCTTTTTCTCTCCGTGGGAACTGGGTGATTACAGGCAATCCTCAACTTACTACAGTTCGTTTAGTGACCGTTCAAAGTAACATCACTGAAAAAGGGACGTATGACCATTTTTCACACGTACTATCATTACAGCACCTCCTCCATCGTCATGTGATCAAAATTCAGACTCTTGGCAAATGACTCCTATTTATCACTATTGCAACATCCCGGGGTCGTGTGATCCCCTTTTGCAACCTTTTGACAAACAAAGTCAATGGGGAAGCCAGATTCACTTTACAACCGTGTTACTAATTTAATAACTGCAGTGATTTGACTTACGACCAATCGTTTAGCAACCATTCAGAGTTACCACACTGAAAATGACAACACCAAGCTGGCAGGAATAGCCAATACTCCAGAAGATAGGCTTAAGATACAGGAGGATCTGCACAGACCTGAACACTGGACACTATCTAACAAAATGAAATTCAATGGTGAAAAAAGTAAGGTTCTACATTTAGGCAAGAAAAACCAAATGTACAGGTATAGTATAGGGGGCACCTTGCTCAATAGTAGCAACTGTGAGAGGGATCTCAGAGTCCTAGTGGACAATCACTTAAATATGAGCCAGCAGTGTGCTGCAGCTGCCAAAAAAGCCAACACAGTGCTGGGCTGCATTAACAGAGGGATAGAATCAAGATCACATGAAGTGTTAATACCACTTTACAATGCCTTGGTAAGGGCACACTTGGAATACTGCATCCAGTTTTGGTCACCACGATGTAAAAAAGATGTTGAGACTCTAGAAAGAGTACAGAAAAGAGCAACAAAGATGATTAGGGGACTGGAGGCTAAAACATATAAGGAACAGTTGCTGGAATTGGGGATGTCTAGCTTAATGAAGAGAAGGACGAGGGGGGACACGACAGCAATCTTCCAATATCTCAGGGGCTGCCCCAAAGAAGAGGGAATCAAGCTATTTTCCAAAGCGCCTGAAGGCAGGACAAGAAGCAACGGATGGAAACTAATCAAGGAGAGAAGCAACCTAGAACTAAGGAGAAACTTCCTGACAGTGAGAACAATTAACCAGTGGAACAACCTGCTTCCGGAAGTGGTGAATGCTCCAACACTGGAAATTTTTAAGAAGAGACTGGACAGCCATTTGTCTGAAATGGTATAGGTTGAGCAGGGGGTTGGACTAGATGACCTCCAAGATCCCTTCCAATATTATTATTATTATTATTATTATTATTATTATTATTATTATTATTATTATTATTATTATTATTATTATTATTATTATTATTATTATTATTATCATCTTTTATTCATTAAACATGAACCTCAGTCAACTGAATATTCAAATTGGCTGGCGCTGATGGTTGACACGGGTTGCTACCAGCATCCTAGGTATATTATTATTATTATTATTATTATTATTATTATTATTATTATTATTATTATTATTATTATTACCAATCCTCGCACTTATGACCGTTGCAGCACCCCCATAGTCACGGGATCAAAATTCAGATGCTTCGCAAGTGGCTCATTTTTATGACGGTTGCAATGTCCCGGGGGTCACGTGCAGGATTCACCTAAGAACTGCAGTGATTCGCTTAACAAGCGTGGCATAGAAGGTTGCAAAACTGGATATAATTCACTTAACTTCCTTGATTGGCCACAAAAATCCAGGTCACTACTGAAGTTAAGTCGAGTATTACCTACGCTGGAAGTTCACTTTCGGAAGTTCATATCTAGATTTGTCTGCAAGAGAATCAGAGCGATGTGTCCTTGTTTAAGGCTTAACAAAACTCACCCGGAGCAACTTCAGTGAAAAACAGGAATTCAAACGCATTAAAAAAAAACAACTAGAAAAGATTGGATTAAAATATGATTGTGTTGGGTTCTTTGGAAGCAGCTCTTATTATCGGTTTTGCAAGAAGCAGCACTTGATGTACGGCAATAAAGCTAACAATTTAAAGAGCAAAGAAAAAGCCACTTGCTTGTTTATATACATTACAAAAGACTCAGCAAGTGCCCACTTAGTCCTTTCAAGGCCCCGGTTGTTATTTGCGCTCTCTCAAAATTTATTCCCGCTGAAGGCAATCAGGCTCCCATCTAAGGGAGCTTTGGACGGTATCCTTCAGGCCAAATTAATTGCCCAATTTCTTTAGAAGTCTCTGTTCTACGTGGCAATAACTCATTCCGGAGGTTGTTAAGAGGCCAAACGTTTAAACTTGCCCCTAAACCTCATTAATGCCGCTGAGAATGTACAAGGCGACCGGCTGATTTATGCTTGCCTCTGTGGTAAATTGAGATTGCGGCAGATTAGCCCAGCTGGATCCTTTTGAACCACACAAGAGATAGCACCATTGTGGCATTATCCATCTGACCTTAACTTTCTTTTGAGGAACTTTCTTGAACAGTTGAAATGCATCTTTTACATTTAAGCATGGGTAATCCTAGGCCAGGGGTAGGCAACCTCGGCTCTTTTATGACTCGTGGACTTCAAGTCCCAGAATTCCTGAGCCAGCATGGCTCAGCTTGGAAACTCTCCCTTTTCCCTCAGCATGGCTGGCTCAGGAATTCTGGGAGTTGAAGTCCACGAGTCATAAAAGAGCCAAGGTTGCCTACCCCTGTGACCTAGACCAGGGGTAGGCAACCTCGGCTCTTTTATGATCTGGGAGTTGAAGTCCACGAGTCATAAAAGAGCCAAGATTGCCTACCCCTGTGACCTAGACCAGGGGTAGGCAACCTCGGCTTTTTTATGACTCGTGGACTTCAACTCCCAGAATTCCTGAGCCAGCATGGCTCAGCTTGGAAACTCTCCCTTTTCCCTCAGCATGGCTGGCTCAGGAATTCTGGGAGTTGAAGTCCACGAGTCATAAAAGAGCCAAGGTTGCCTACCCCTGTGACCTAGACCAGGGGTAGGCAACCTCAGCTCTTTTATGACTCGTGGACTTCAACTCCCAGAATTCCTGAGCCAGCATGGCTCAGCTTGGAAACTCTCCCTTTCCCCTCAGCATGGCTGACTCAGGAATTCTGGGAGTTGAAGTCCATGAGTCATAAAAGAGCCGAGGTTGCCTGCCCCTGACCTAGACTTACAATCACAGCTGAGCACAAAATGTTTCTTGGCGAGGTATTCATTAAGTGACTTTTGCCTCACTTTACCACCTTTCACGCCACGGATTGTTGTTAAGGGAATCACTGCAGTTGTTTAAGTTGGTAGTAAGGTTGTTAAATGAATCCAGCTTCCCCACTGACTTTGCTTGCTATAAGGTTGCAAAAGGGGGAATCATGTGACCCGGGGACGCTGCGACTGTCATAACTACGAGTCAGTTGCCAAGCGTCTGAATTTTGATCACGTGACACCAGGATGCTGCGACTGTCATAACTACGAGTCAGTTGCCAAGCGTCTGAATTTTGATCACGTGATCCCGGGACGCTGTGACCGTCATAAATATGCGTCAGTTGCCAAGCGTCTGAATATTGATAATGTGACTCTGGGACACTGCGACCATCATAACTACGAGTCAGTTGCCAAGCGTCTGAATTTTGATCACGTGACATCAGGATGCTGCAACCGTCATAACTATGAATCAGTTGCCAAGCATCTGAATTTTGATCACGTGACCCCAGGACACTGCGACCGTCATAACTACAAGTCAGTTGCCAAGCATCTGAATTTTGATCATGTGACACCAAGATACTGTGACCATCATAATTACGAATCAGTTGCCAAGCGTCTGAATTTTGATCACTTGACCCCAGGACGCTGCGACCATCATAACTACGAGTCAGTTGCCAAGCGTCTGAATTTTGATCACGTGACCCCGGGACGCTGCAACCATCATAACTACAAGTCAGTTGCCAAGCGTCTGAATTTTGATCACGTGACCCCGGGATGTTGCGACTGTCATAAATACGAGTCAGTTGCCAAGCATCTGAATTTTGATCATATGACCGTGGGGAAGCTGCAACAGTTGTAAGTGTGAAAACGGTCATAAGTCACTTTTTTCATACGTTGCCGTTGTAACTTTGAAGGGTCACTAAACAAACTGTTGGAAGTCAAGGACTACCTGTGCCATCTAAAAATGAAGTCTCCTATTGGACACTCTATCATCCCCACAAAAAATTAATATATTGATATGGACAGGCTGGTAGATTTTTCATCTCAAGGCCTGAATAAATCTTGACTGAGAATCTGAACAGAACTTGCAGTGCAATATTTGATTCCATCTTCCTTGATGGAAATTGAAGTGTTCTTATATTTTCCTTCTAAAACTGCAGAAGGAATTAAATAATGTTTTTTTTTAAATGCCCAGGGATGTTTACTGCCATAAAGGTTAGAACTGAAGAAGCTTCTTAGACCAGAAGTGAAATGTTTTCAAGGAAAAAAACCAAGAAAGTCCAGTTGCCTTTAGGAAAAGCGCCTTTTGGGACAACAACCGTGACCTGGATGACTGAGAACCTCCACAGACATAAAGTGAAATTGTAATTTACGAGAAAATGTCTCTGAGAATCTTTATGCCAATTTGCACTTAAATTAAATTCATATTACCCTTGGAGCACTCCAGTTAAGCTTTGGAAAAACATTCCCTCCCAAGGAATGGATCGCCTCTTCAACTTTAAGGGAAAATTCAGGAAATTCTGGTGCCTGGAAAACCACAAAAGAGAAACCGTCTCTAGAAATAAAAACTAACACAAAACAGTATTCCAGGAGAAATAACTTTGTATTGCAATTGTTGTATATAAGCCAAATGTTTATAACAACATCTCCAGAACAAGCTCAGCAGAGAGACATTAAACAAATTAGGATCTCAAGAAATACCCCCTCCCCCAATTACTTTATTTTGTAATATTTGGATTTGAAAATTCCGGATTTTCAAATGGTTAACAAATTGTTAACATGCAAATTAATCTGACTGAGGGATCCTTGGTCCTCTCTGAGCTTGGTTGTTTTCTTGCACACGTTTCATTATCCAAACACTGATGATGTTATTATCCAGCACTGATGATGTTACCTAGTTGGGTATTGAAACGTCTGCAAGAAAACAGCCAAGCTCAGATCCCTCATTTCAACCCTGAGCTACAAATTAACCTGATTGCTAAATAGTCATGTTGGACATTGGATGTTGCAAGATAAATGAATGGATTTTTCACAATGTTCTAAATACAGTACTATTCACTTCCATCGATATGTCTGATGTTCATTTCACATTTTCTTTTACGTACACTGGTCTGCTTTAGGAACAAGCTGGGAGCTCATCTTTAATTGCTAACTTAGGAAAAAGTTCACGGCCCGATAAAACTCAAGAAAAATGTTTGGCATTTTTTGCTCTTATATAACTGAGAACTCCTTAGGTTATTAATCTCTCGCAATTAAAAAAATAATTGAATTCAGAGGGACTTACTGTGAGCGTCGCAGTATTTTCATCATCAGACCACTGAAAAAGGAGACCAGAAACAAGTTATTTTTTTGACGGGGATGTGGCAACTGACAGTTGCTTAATTGTGGTTAACTGATAAAGGTAGTTGTGAATAGGTTCAAATGTTCACGCAGATTCTCAGTCACCCAGGTCCCAAAGGTGTGTGGGAAGTCAGCCCCGCAGAGAAGGAAATATTAAAAAGGGCAGAAAAATATATTTCCTCCAAGGATTTTAAAGAAGCAGGAAAGCATGCCCAGTTTTCTTAATAGCACCAGATCTCCCTTCCCCAAGCAGAAACAGTTCTATAGAGATGAAGATGTAAATCCAGGGAGCTAGGAGATTAAGAAGATAAAGACCTAAAATCTACATACCCCACCCAAACTCTAAGAGTCATCAGCCCCAGGGAAGCAGGAAATGACCCTTGGGACATAATAGGATTAACCCACCACCATCCGAATTCCAGAAAGGCACACTCAGACTCAGGTCAAAGTTCATGCCACAGGAACAACTCCAAACAAAAGGCTCCAGAAGGTATAAAAACCCACTTCCTACATGTGCTCAGTCTTTTTTTTTCCCACTTCGCTTGCTGCCAGAACTATCTTCCTGTCTGGCTCTCCTCTCCAATAAACTACAACCTTCTTCCCAAAGCAGTTGCCATGTTTATTCCCAGCTTGGATGAACCAGGATGAAGACTTTTTTTTCCAACAGGTGCTTTTTCAAAAGGCAACTGGATTTTTCTTCTTTTTTTCCTTGAAGAGATTTCGCTTCTCATCACAGAAGCTTCTTCAGTTCTGAACGGTGTGGGGAGGGGAAATGGATGGATTTGTATTCCTTGAACTCATCTGGTCGTTAGCTCTCTCTCTCTGAGCTCTCCTGTGTTCAGAGGACTGCAAGGAAGAATAGAAATCCTCCCATTTCCTCCCTCCCCGTTCCGTCAGAGCTGAAGAAGCTTCTTGGGATGGGAAGCAAAACGTCTTCAAGGGAAAAACAAAGAAAAGTCCCGCTGCCTTTTGAAAAAAAGCTCCTTTGGGAATGGGTTCAAAGCATAAATCATCTCATCCACAAATTAGGGTTTACAAACCACAAGGGTTGAGTTGAGTTCATGCTGATCCACCCCTTTAAAAAGGGGAGTCCGTCTCTAAATCTACAATTTTGCAAACTGGAAGCCCTTTCATTGCACTTCTTAATTTCAGGACAACTGGGATCGGATTCGGCCTGTAGGTAGAAATTCCCAACACAAAGAAAAACAAAAAAACCCCAACCTCCCTAAATACCCTACTGAGAGTGCTTCTTCTCCTTCCTTGTGGATGCTCTAGGTCCCCTTCTGCTTGGTTGACAAAATTTGAAAGAGATGGCCAAAAGTCAGAGCTAGCCCAGGTCAAAAACATGAGCAATGGAAAAGAGGTAAGCTGAAGACTTCCTACTGAAAAATGGGTGTTCTGGACCGTGGTAAACCTGACTAGAGCATGTATCTGTATGTTAGAATACCTGGCATTTATTGGGTTAAGTGCTGTCTCCCTAAGAGATGGCTTATGGGTAATGTAGTTTAGCTAGTCAGCTATATCATGTTAGTAGGTCAGTGGGAGGAATTTCTAAAGGGCATTGCAGGACTTCCTGGACACGAGCCAGATTGGAATGTTCTTTTTCTGAGAGAAGCATGAAGCCATTCGGACACCTCAGTTGGCTTCATTCCAAGCTACAAGCTGGTATGGAGATAGCATTATTTTCTCACCTATGGGAATGAACAGAGATGTATTGTCCAGAAGCAACCAACACAAATGCAAGTATTTCCTCTGAATAAATATATTTCTGTTTTAAAATCATTTCTATTGAGTTTATCTGTCTGACCCAGTTTTACAACGCAATTTAATTCTGGTTGTTAGAACAGTGATAAAATAATGCTACCTCCATACCAGCTTGTAGCTTGGAATGAAGCCAACTGAGGTGTCCGAATGGCTTCATGCTTCCCTCAGACAAAGAACATTCCAACCTGGCTCGTGTCCAGGAAGTCCTGCAATGCCCTTTAGAAACTCCTCCCACTGACCTACTAACATGATATAGCTGACTAGCTAAACTACATTACCCATAAGCCATCTCTTAGGGAGACAGCACTTAATCCAATAAATGCCAGATATTCTAACATACAGATACATGCTCTAGTCAGGTTTACCACGGTCCAGAACAATGGGGGTTGGTGTTTCCTATCAACCAAGACCCTCCACTTGTAGTAGACAGAAACCGGATTCTACAGATCTTGCAAAAGAGGTCAATCAAATTGTTTTGGACTTCCGGTGACCCACAAGGACTCATCCGTGAAGTCTCATGACACATTATAAGAACGATTTTTCCATTGTGATCTTCTGCGATTTGTTATTCTTCCTAGTTTAGACTACAGTCTTAAGAAGTGCTGGTGATCTCCTTGCTAAGTGCTACCTGGGCCACACTTGCTTAGCTTTCTAGATCAGCCAAGGTTGTTCAGGTAGGAAAGGACCAAGAGAGTGTCCACTTGAAGAAAAAAAAGTCTACCCTTTTCATAATTCAGCCATAACTTTAATACTTATGGAAAAGGTAAGGAATTCTAGAATGAGGGCTGATATATCAGAGACAAAGAACAGTTAGAGCAGGGGTCTTCAAACTTGGCCCTTTTATGACTGGTGGACTTCAACTCCCAGAATTCCTCAGCCAGGCACGCTGGCTGAGGAATTCTGGGAGTTGAAGTCCACAAGTCATAAAAGGGCCAAGTTTGAAGACCCCTGAGTTAGAGTATCACAGTTTCTACAAACCACAGCTTCTTCTGCCTCTTCTTCATCGCCACCATCTTCTTGGGTTATTGTTTGGGGATCTTCTCTAAATAAGAAACCAGAAGGTGAAATCTTTGGCTAATCAAATCCTAAAGTTTTAATTTTTATTATGGTAGCCTTTATGAAATGTAATGTCCGAAAAACATCTTTAAAGCAAACAATTCAGAAGAAAGTGATCTGTTTTGACCAATTAATAGTATTTTTTTTTCAATTAAAAGCTATGATGTTCGTATTAAGCAGAGAATTGTTATTGTAGGAAAACGCTCAGTAAGATGATCTAAGATTTGGAGTACGTTTGAAATTGTTGCTTCGTCGAAAACATTTGTTTGGAAGCTGTTTCTTTCTGCCAAAGAAGTGTTGTAAACTACAGGCAGTCCTCGACTTACGACCACAATGGAGCCCAACGTTTATGTCGCTAAGTGAAACATTTGTTAAGTGAGCTTGTCCCATTTGCCACAGTTGTTAAGTGAATCACTGCAGTTGATAAGTTAGTTAAGTGGTTGTTAAGTGAATCTGGCTTCCTCCATTGACTTTGCTTGTCAGAAAGTCGCAAAAGGGGATCACATGACCTCCTGGGACACTGCGACCGTCATAAGTATGAACCGGTTGCCAAGCGTCTGAATTTTGATCACGTGACCAAGGGGAGGCTACAACGGTCGTAAGCGCGAAAAACGGTCCTCAGTCCCTTTTTTTCAGTGCCGTTATAACGTTGAATGGTCACTAAATTGAGGACAACTTGTACTGATGATAGGGTTAGAAACCTTTGCACACATTCAAATTTGCATTCCAGGTTTGAAAAATGTGTGATGCTTCTCTTTGCGCTTTAGAGCAGAGGTCACCAACCTTTTCATGCTGGGGGGCTGGAGCGGAAGGAAGCAGCTGGGAAATTTTTGTGCGCGTGCGCGCGAACGGGGCTGCGTGCACCCACACGGTGCGGGCGGCCCTGTTTGCGCAGGCACACAGGAGCTACCCGCAGCCACTAGCAGCCACGCGCACGTGCAAACTGGCTGTACAACTCCCGTGTCAACGCTGCTAACATTGGATGTTTTGCTTTGACAAGTTAGAGATGCAACCATTTTCTTCTTATGTTTGACTTTTAGAGTTAGATGATGCTGGAGCGGGGAGGAATGTGCATGAGAGTTTAATTAGACATAATAACACTGGACCTAGTGTGAGAACCAAGGTTATTGAAATAAGAGATGATAAGAATTGGGCTGGAGAACTGGAGGGAGAGCCTGCATTTCAAACTAATCGGAGAATGTGATTTATGTTAATTGGAGGAGGGAATTGTGCTTTGATACTGTGTGCTCAGAGGAGGGGAATCCAGTTTTTGGCTTCGATTATGTTAGTGCCGATGCTATGCTTTTCAAATAAAGATTCTTTAAGGTAAACAATGCCTCGAAGTTCTTTGAAGAGTTTCATCTGTCGGAACCATGATACCCCGCACGCGCTAGCAGTTCTATTTGCACAGGTGTTAGCTCCGCGTGCATGCGCAAACGGGTCTGCGGGCACTAGTGTGAGTGGGGGTGAGTGCGCAAACTGGCCAGCCTGTCCCACGGCCCGGTGGCCAGTAGGCTACGGCCCTGTAGTGGGCCGCAGCCCATAGGTTGGGGACCTCTGCCTTAGAGGGTTTAAGTCAGCTTCCATTTCCTCAGAGATTTATTGCGGCACAAATTTTGACCAGCGATGCTTCTAAAGAATTGTATACAGTATTCATATTTTACTCTTGTGTCATTAAAGGCACAATGCTCATAGAAAACAAGACAGAAAAGCTGCCACTGTATTTAGACAGATCACCCATACATAATTGTTTTTAAAATACATCTAAATCTTTAAGTGAATTTTCTTACCTGCCAGAAACCACCAGGGTTCCATCGTCTAGCAAGTAATCCTTTACATTCTGTGGTATTGGAAGAATGACACTAAGACGGAAAAGGATTTAAAAATAAAAATGTTAGAAACCCCGTACATCTGAAGACATGGCAAGGAGAGCTACTATTTTACACTTTGTGTAAATGTCTGCTGCTAGGGTAGTTCAGTTATACAGGTAGTGCTCGATTTAACAACGGTTCATTTAGTGACCGTTCAAAGTTACAACGGCACTGAAAAAAGGGACTTATGACCGTTTTACCACAGTTACGACCTTTGCAGCCTCCCCACGGTCACGTGATCAAAATTCAGATGCTTGGCAACTGACTCATCTTTATGACGGTCGCAGTGTCCTGGGGTCACGTGATCCCCTTTTGCGTCCTTCTGACAAGCAAAGTCAATGGGGAGGCCAGATTCATGTAGCCACCAGGTTCTAACTTATAAATTGCAGTGATTCACTTAACAACTGTGGCAAGAAAGGTCATAAAATGGGGCAAAACGCACTGGAGAAATGTCTCACTTAGTAGGACAGAAAGTTTGGGCTCAATGGTGGTTGTAAATTGAGAACTACTTGTATTAACTGCATTGATACCGGTAATAAATTCTCATGCCAATCCCCCCTAAAAAAAAAAACATTGAAAATGTGAGAGGAAAAAAATAATAAAAGTGTTCGAAATGTAAAACACTACCAAAAGGGGGTTGGACTAGAAGACCTCCAAGGTCCCTTCCAACTCTGTTATTTTGTTATTCTGTTATCGTTAAGCCCAGTTTCTCACTCTTTTTTTTTTTTAAACATCAGCATTTCTTTTCTTAAAAAGACTCACACAACATACAGGTAGTCCTTGACTTATGACTGCTTGCTTAGCAACTGTTCCAATTATGACAGACTGACCAGGGAGCCAATTACGACCCAGATTCAAAGGTGCAATGAATTTTGGTTGCTTGGCAACCAGGCCACATTTACAGCCATTTGCAAAGGCCCGTGGTCACATGACTGCATTTTATGAAAATTTTGCCCCAAATTGGCAGTTACTTTCAGTTTTCAGCAAAACCACACCCGTTAACAAGCCCTTGGTTTCCTTAAAACTATGATATTCTCGTTAACGGCTGCAGCATTCGCTTAACGACTGTTGCGCGACAAGACAGTCGTGACCTACGACTGTCTTGGATATGCTCCATTATGGCCGTAAATCGAGGACTACCTGCATTAGGGGGTTAATCCTGCTTCGTTATGAGAAGGCTTCACTTCTTCGTGTTGTTTTAAGCAAAATAACAAACAAGGCCTCTAGTCTGTCCCTAAAGACTGGCGGATTCTCTCTTGCATACAGAAACCTCATACACAAACTATTAGAAATCTCTAAGGAATTCCCATAAAGTGTTTCAGCAGAGAATTCTATAGAAATAAGCCTCTGTCTAAATGTGTCTATGGGGATTCTGTCATCCAGGTCATGGTTTTCCCAAAGGTGCTTTTTCAAGAGGCAACTGGACTTCCTTTGTTTTTCCTTGAAGACGTTTCGCTTCTCATCCCAGAAGCTTCTTCAGCTCTGACTCCAGCTCAGCTCCTTCCATTCCCCACCAGGCAGTCAGAGCTGAAGAAGCTTCTGGGATGAGAAGCGAAACGTCTTCAAAGAAAAACAAGAGAGTCCAGTTGCCTCCTGAAAAAGCACCTTTGGGACAAGCTTTCTATCTAATTCAAGGCGGAAATTCGTCTCGGGTACCTGCGGATTGTCTGCCTCTTGAAACGAGGATACCAGGAAGAGAACTGACAATTGAGTATCTGTTCTTTCTTCATCTTTACATTCAAAATACGACTGGCAGTTCTGCATGAAAGAAAACAACGCAACTTAACATTTGAAGACGAGTGCAGACAACCATTTTACCCCATTCATTAAAGGCAGAAGGACTGAATAGGGACACTTCGTTTCTTTAACATTTTTACTAAATACTAAATATTTTACTCTGTACTGCAGGTTATCTATGGGAAGGATATATTTTAAGAAGACCAAAGAGACAGAGTAGCTGAGATTTGATTTCCCTAACCAGAGAAATATCCTCAGCTTTCAGTTTTGAACATGTGTATCTAAAAAGTGTGTATTTTCCTTTTGAGTGTCAGGAATTCTGGCAATGTAGCCTTAAGATTCCAGCTGGGGAATTCTGGGAGTTGAAGTCCACAGGTCATAGAGGGGGCATAGTTGCCCACCCTTGTTCTACAGTCACAAAATGACTTGTCTCAATCCCAATCATTGGACCTGTCTTTCAATCCCTGCCACTATGTCAAAGCCATCCACCTAACTACTACTACTACTACTACTACTACTATTACTACTACTACTACTTCTTCTTCTTCTTCTTCTTCTTCTTCTTCTTCTTCTTCTTCTTCTTCTTCTTCTTCTTCTTCTTCTTCTTCTTCTTCTTCTTCTTCTTCTTCTTCTTCTTCTTCTCCTCCTCTTCTTCTTCTTCTTCTTCTTCTTCTTCTTCTTCTTCTTCTTCTTCTTCTTCTTCTTCTTCTTCTTCTTCTTCTTCTTCTTCTTCTTCTTCTTCTTCTTCTTCTTCTTCATCATCATCATCATCATCATCATCATCATCATCATCATCAAGTTGGAAGGGACCTTGGAGGTCATCTAGTCCAACCCCCTGCTCAGGCAGGAAACCCTATACCATTTTAGAAAAAATGGCTGTCCAGTCTCTTCTTAAAAACTTCCAGTGTTGGAGCATTCACCACTTCTGGAGGCAGGTTGTTCCACTGGTTAATTGTTCTAACTGTCAGGAAGTTTCTCCTTAGTTCTAGGTTGCTTCTCTCCTTGATTAGTTGTTGCTTCTTGTCCTGTCTTCTGGTGCCTCCTCCTCCTCCTCCTTCCTCTTCTTCTCCTCCTTCTCCTTTCCATTCATCCCAGAATTATGGACTTCTCGAAAAATTAGGTCTTCACACAATAGGTCCAAAATATAATAATTTGAGCCAAGTCAGAACTCTGATTTAATGTGCTCTATGAGCCATTTGTTGGGGGGTGGGTGGGGGTGGGGGGTTTGGCTATCCATGGTTTTCTCAGGGACCTACTCCAATATCAGAGTTCAAAAGGATCAACGCTTCTTTATTCAGACCATCATGTTGTCCCACAGATTGAGTATAAATTGGTATAAAACCCACAGATTGAACAAAAGACTTCCTAGTTCTGCAAACAGATTATTAATCGGTTATATCTAGTTTTTCTATGTCTAGTTTTTCCTGCCTTAGAAAGCTCATCAACCTTTGACTCCTGAGGTGATACCTTAACTGGAGATTCTTCAAAGCCTCAGCTCATCTTTGGAATTATACTATTATTTCTCCAACTTGGAGAAACACCTGAGAGAAACATAACTAAGGGCTTTCTTGGTGGCTAAATGGAGGTCAGAATAGCTCAATTTCAAAGTGGTCTTTTTTCCTGAAAGATGTTTCCTTAAACATCTGATATGATCTGCTGCTTAGGTCAACTTTGAACATACAGATGCCACTTAATTGTTGTTGTTTTTTCTCATCCATAACTGATGCACAGCCCCCAAATTCCACAAGAAGACAAAAAGGGAAAAACGAGGAAAGAGAACAACAGCTATTAATGAGCAATTTTTTTTTTGCCATTTTAATAGGAATCCTTCACATCAATCTCAAACAATTTTCAGACCTGCCAAAAGAAATTGGCTGGTGGATTTATATCGCACAATATTAAATGTAGCGGCTCTGAATCACATCGAAACAAGATGGGTGGCAAATAAATTTAATAATAAAATACATAAGCAAGCAAGCTAAGGCACCGAGAACTCTCTGAAATTATACACACATACAAACATATATACCTATACACACACACACACAAATACATATACAGTATATATACATACATACAGATATATATGTATATGTGTATCTATGTATGTATGTATATTATATATATACATACACACACATATATTTTATAATTGTGTGTGTGTGTGTGTGTGTGTGTGTGAATTGCTTGTGTGTGTCCAATCATGCCTGGACAATAAAGAATAAATAATTCTCTCTATATATTTATATACGTATATAGTCACCATCAGCTGCTTATTCACATATAATTGGGAAACCTAACACACCCCCAGCACACAACAGCAACAAGCTCTATAACCCAGACACGTGTACGTAGGAATACACGTGTATCCCTATGCATTCACACACTTCCAGCAGCTTCCCCAGCCCCGCACCCGGGTTTGCTCTTCCAGCTCGCTTATTTTACCTGCTACACCATCATCCCAGCTGCTCCTGGAGGAGCCGACCAATCAACGAGCGCAGCAGGCGGGACTTCACGCTTTCTTCTTCTTATTGGCTAACGGATTGTTCTTCGACTAATGAAAAGCCTTGCGTGGTTAGCACTGCCCTCCAAGGAAAGCCGAAAGGCTAGCTTTGTTTGGAGCTGGTAAGTGACAGGCATTTTTATTAACCAATCTGTGATTAAAAAAGTACTCTGTAGGTGGATCTCGGTTAGTCATGTAGAGATAAGTTTACAGAACCTTATAAGAGAAACGTCAGGTTTATTTAACCCTGAGTGCTTTGTTTCTGTTTTGAAACAGAACAAGAATATTATTTTAATTCAACTAGATCTGGACACATATCTTATTTAAGTTAAAAACCGAAATGATAATTACAACAAATAACCTCAAGGAGACATGAGGACGACTCTAATTTTCCTATCTCTAGGAGCCTCGCGCTTCCAAGCGAATGAAAGAGCGGCAGGCGTCCAAAGTCGCTCGCTATGCGCATGCGTGACAGAATCGGTCACCTATAGGGCTCTCCCATCGGACGCTCTCTCCCATCGCTGGCTAGTCGGGCGCGCGAGGGTTCGGCGAGCTTCCTGCTACTTTCAGCCAATCAGCGGAGGGGAACGGACCGGAACGGACCGGAGAGACTCTTAGACTCCTGCCCGGGAAAACGGCGAGCAGAGACGGTTAGAGGCGTCCTCCTGCCGCCAACTCGCGAGTATCGCAAGAGGAGGTGGCTGCAGTTGGGCTGATGCGGGAGCAGAGAGAAATCGAGCATGTGCAGAGTGCTTGTGCTGAGCTCCTGACTTGCACTGCATGCATATTGTTAAGAGTGGGTTGCAAAGTGCAGAGTCTACTCTAACCCATATTATTCAAGCTCAGCAACTTTAAAATAAGTGGATTTCAACTCCCAGAATTCCCCAGCCAATTGGCCAGGGAATTCTGGGGCTTGAAGTCCACTTAAAGTTGCTGAGCTTGAGAAACATGGATTTCTAATGGCACTGGGTAGTTACAGTCTGACTCATTTTCCTTTTATCTTCTATTTTGCAAAATCTACCAATTATCTGCACTCTTTAATAATTAACAAAATAACATTCCTACCAATTAACAAAATAACATTCCCACCATCAATGTTCATTGATCTAATTTAATTCCAGTTGGATAAAAAACACTTTTACTTCCCCAATAATGCTTCACTTTCTCTGTTTTAAACTTTTTAACATCCAATTTCTTTGCCAAAAGTTTTTAAACCTTTTAAAGTTTTTTTTTCTTTATAGTATTAAAGGAACAAGAACAAAAGAAAGGAAAATATGGGGAGAGCTTGCCTTTTCTTTTGCCCTTGCTTGAGACATTAATCATGCAAATGTAATTAATCCATGCATTAATCCATGAATTAATAATATAGACTTAAAAAATTAGAAATTTTAAACAATACTGTGTAAAAGGAAAGAGTGCTTCTTTTTCACTGACAAGCTTAAGCAAAGAACTATTTTTAAAAATTCCATTAAAAAAGTCAGATGAACACCCACTGACAGTTTACAGCTTGGTGGCTTTAAAAAAGATTTTAAAAACAAGAAATAGAGATAATTGGCATCTTTCCCTTAAAAACTAATTGCTCTGAACAAGTTATCTAAAATAATTTGCAGTTTATACTTCATACGAAGCATTAGGAAATTGCTCTTTTATTATTTAATTAAATTAGATACTAATTATAACCTATGAAATGTTGTTATCAGGTATTCTTACCTAACATATCCCATTGATTTCAGTTGAAGTGATGGGTGGTTAATTTGGTTCAAATCAAAGCTTCTACAATCAGCAGGACTTCCAAATTTTCCACTTGTAGAAAGTACCGTTGTATTGTCTACCAGAAGTGATAAACTATCCTGATGCTTAATTTAAACCTGTAATTTATTTCTAACATTTGTCCTTGCCAAAGATTGCCATTAAAGGTTAAACTGACCATATATCATTGATTGATTGATTAAAAAGGACAGTCCTTTATTTCAGAAAGCTGCCCTTTCAAGGACCAATAGATTTATTTTTCAAAAAGTGAGTTTTATCCTTTGTTTTGTCCATTTAACTTATACGAGTGTTATCATTTAATGTATAGTCCTTTTTAATACTTGCTTCTTAGAACTTTATAGCTTCTTATGCTTTCTAGACATTTTTATTAGACTACGTCCTTTTGCAAAGTTTTTCTCAGATTTGCTCTCGAATTTTCTTCTGCAAAGTGATAGACCTAATCACCTACATTTTTTTTTTCTTCCTATCCTTACAAACCTCTTTCAGGTTTGCCCTGTTATTCAGCTGCGTTCTTTGTGTTTTGCAAGAAAATATGGTCACCCTAGCTGTGTCATCGTTCGTCAGAAAAGATTGCTTTGCAGCATTTAATGTGTGCTAAGGGGGTCATCGCTTCCAATAAACAATGGCTACTCAAAAAAATTAAAACCAAGGATATGGACGGCCCTGCTGAACTCAAAACGTTCTAACAAACTTGTAAAATTGATATGAATGGTGGGATAGTTTTCACTAACTAAATCTGGAGCATTCCGAGATTACCTTTGGCTGGAAAAACTTTGCAGGACTTTGTCCTAATGGAAGGTTATTGCACTCTCAATTGTTGTTCAAGAGAGCAGACTGTCCTCTGAAGACCTTAGGTAGTTAGTTACCTTTAGCCTGTCTAGAGTTCCAATCGATGTTATGCAGAGCTGATATTTCTGATTAACCTCGATTAACCTTGATCCAAACCCTCTTATTTAATACAGGTAGTCCTCGATTTACAACCTTAATTGAGCCCCAAATTTCTATGTCTAAATG